CCTTTCGCCAGCGTCGCGCTGGCGGCTCCACGCCCCGCGCGCGCCGTTCGGCCGTTCCCCGGCGGGGCGGCGGGTGATGCCGCACAGGGCCCCCCCCACCAAACCGCAGCGTCTTGGGTTCGGTCGGCCACCCGACGCCGCCCCCCCTACGACCCCGACGGCCCTTCCCGACGACCACAAACGACGACCCCCCACGACGCCGTCCGCCCATTCCACCGATACGCCTGCGCCGCCTGTCGCCGCCGTGGGGTCCGTAGCCTCGTCGCGGCGGCCCCTGGCCCGGCCTCTCTGCTTGCGGTAGCTTGCCCTCTCCTCCCTTTCCTTGCCTCCATCCCTTTCTCTTTCCTCCTCCTCATCCTCCTCGTCCTCCTCCTGGTCCTCCTCCTGGTCCTCCTCCTCGTCCTCCTCCTCGTCCTCCTCCTCCTCCTCCTCCTCCTCCTCCTCCTCCTCCTCCTCCTCCTCCTCCTGCTCCTCCTCCTCCTGCTCCTCCTCCTCCTGCTCCTCCTCCTCCTCCTCCTCCTCCTCCTCCTCCTCCTCCTCCTTCTCCTCCCCCTCCTCCTCCTCCTCCTCCTCCTCCGCCTCCGCCTCCTCCTCCTGCCTCCGCCCGGCACTCCTTCCGCCTGCCAGCCAACCCAGCCGGCACCCGCCTCCCGCATGCTCGTTCGGAGTTGCCTGCCTGCTTCTAAGTCGGGCGTGTCCCTCTACTACAGGAGGAATCTTCAAACATTGCCACAAAGATAGTTCGGATACCATGTTCCTGCTATCGTGTTTGAATGTCTTCGATCATTGTCTGACTATGTCTTAATGTTCGTCCAAATCCCCTCGTAGAAGGACACGCCCGACCTAAGCCTGCTTCTCTCCTCTCGGGAGCGGCCAAGAGGGGGGTGTCCAAGAGGGGGGGGTGCAAATCATGACCGGCGGCATGTGCGCGGCCCAGCGGGGGGGGCCTGGGACGTAATGAAATAAGAAGAGGCGCCATGAAATCTGGGGAGATATAATGGCCCCCGCCATGATGTCCACCCCCCCCTAGTCATCACCCCCCTCTTTTCCGCTCCCGATCCTCTCACCCCTCTGCCGGCCAGCACAGCCTGCCCGGGACCAGCGGGGCGGCGCGCAGGGCTCCATCCGCGGAGCGAGCCTTGTAGGCCCTCGCAGCTTCGGCCTCCAGTGGCCCTTGCCGGCAGCCAGCAAGGTCCCGCAGAGGTCCCAAAAGGCCCCACGAGGAGGCCCCGCAGAGGCCCCATGAGGCCTCCGAGGCTCCTCGGCGGATCCAAGGAGGCCCCTGGGAGACCGCACGAGGACTTCAAGATGTCTCGTCTTCTTCTCTCCTCCTCCTCCTCCTCCTCCTCCTCCTCCTCCTCCTCCTTCTCCTCCTCTTCCTTTTCCTTTTCCTCCTCCTCCTCCTCCTCCTCCTCCTCCTCCTCGCCCTCCATTCCCTCCCTCTCTCTTCCTTCTACTCATATCCCAAACGTTCCCCAAAGGTGTTATACAACGGCTGGGAGAACACATTGTCCAATAGCTTGGCTAACCTGCTGCCCAACGTTTGGCCGCATGGGCATTTCCAAATGGCACGGGGCGGAAGCGGCTCGCAGCAGGCTTCGTCGAGTGAGCACAATCCCACCAGCCCCCGAGGCATAGGAGGCTCTCTTTCCAAACCCCCTGTCTCCTCTTCGGACAGGGGTTTGCCAATGAGCGCCCCCTCCCCCACTCGACCCACACAAAAAAAAAAAAAAAAAAAAAAATGCGTGCATCCCCCTTTCAAACATGCAAAATGCACGTGGCGGGGGAATCTTGGTCATGAGCGGACTGCGTACGATCACCCCCCATTGGCGTGTGACAGGGGGACCGGAGAATCATATACGTCCGGTGCGCGCTCGGCCTTCACCCGTATCAGCATCAGCCCCGTGCAGCGGCTTCTTGCCAGGATGGTCGGGGTGTCGACACATGGCCAAATGTGTGCTGTCGCGTGCACTGGCGCCCCGGGCGCAGTCTGCATCCGTCGCGAACCTGGCGCGGATGGAGCATGTGGCACACTTAGAGAATGCTGCGTGTGTGAGCGTTGTCTTATTCGCCGTGTCGACATTGAGCGGAAGGGGGGGGAGGGGGGAGTCTGGCTCAGGACCTCTGCCTAATGCGACCGTTTGCAGCAGAGCGTCCTATGGGGGATACTCCACCTGCTTGAGAAAGGCCCCAGAAACGGCCAAGATCTGATCCATTGTGGGGGGCGATAGGGTGCGAGGCCCCGCGCCGAATGAGAAAACGATCACCTGGCGCACCTGGCGCAGTCTGCACCCGTCGCGAAGCTAGCGCGGATGGAGCACGCGGCACACACGTCGCGTCTCTTGCGCCGCAAGGGCGCCTGGCATGTCTGAGCCCCCAGGGCACCCGGTGCACCCGGTGCGCGTGGCGGACACCCGGGCACGCGCGGCGCATCCCGCGACTGCCGCGCACCCGGCGTCTGCGGCTGCTCTCCACTGCGCTCCATCCGATGGCGACCGAACCTCGGGTGCTGCTGCTCTTGGGGGGGGAGGACTGGCCCCCGGGTGCACCGCTGCCGCCGCAGCCTCGCTGCGCGAGTGTGCCCCCGCGCCCTGCTCCCCTCTTCGATGCCGCCCCCCTCCCTCCCCCCCGTCCCGATTCGCGCCGGCTGATTCGCGATGCCGTGTCCCGGTCTCGCCCGGGGGCGCGCGGGGATCGCCTCTGCCGCGCTGCGACGGAAAAAGCGTGTAGGGGGGGGTCGGCTTGGAGCGAGCGAAGCAGCCTGCGGCGTTCCCGTGGCAGTCGTGACGGCCCCTCCCCCTGCCCGCTCCCGCCCCCCTCCCCCGTGGCTCTGGATAGGGGACGCACAGGGACATACTAATACTATATGTCCTCCTTGGAGGCGCGCGTCCGACCCGAACATATAGTATACCCATCTTGTAGTATGTCGTTTCCCGAGCGGTGTGGCCAGAAAGCGCCCGCCACGACGCATATACTATAGATTTCTCGGTGCGCGCGTCGCCCCCGGGGGGGGCGACGCACATATAGTAGAAGTATGTTGGCGACGCCGATGGATAGGGGGATCGCGCAAGAGCGGTCAGACTGTCCAACCTTACCAAGGGAACGCTCCAGGATGGCTCCAGATAGCACGAGGCTGCCTCCAGGATGGCCTCCAGCATGCCTCCAAGAAACCTCAAGATCGTCCCTTGATGGCTCAAATCGACACGGCACTCCCGATGGTATTCCCATGCCCCTGAGAGGCAAACAACACTTAACATCTCATGTTGTCAGTGTTCAAAGTCGTCTCGCCTTTTCCGCTTCGAACGGGTTCCGGAGGCCTCGAGACGGCTCAAAGATCGCTCAAGAGAGCTCCAAGAGGGGCCAATAGGGCTCCAAGACGGTCCCGATGGCTCCCAAGGGCGCCCTACGAGCGACCCGAGGGCCCCTAGAGGCGATGTGTCGAGCTTGAAAGGCGAGACGCATCAGAATGTGGAACCAGTTGGTTGGTTGAGCGCACGGGGATAAACGGTGATCCCAATGGGTCTAATGGGTCCGACAGTCATAGGCTAATTAATTTCGCGCGCCGCGCCCCGCAATAGGTGACGCGCGGCGATTTTCGTCCTCATCGCGAGGCCTCCTTGGAGAAGGGCAACTCTCAAGCGAAATAAACATACCTCTATTCCCGCGGCACCCTCCCAGCAATAACATTAGCACACTAACTAAACAATTCGCCGGCCCAACGGGCCAGAGGCGTGCTAAGATCTCTGGTAACTACTTAACAATATTTCTAGTTCGCGCGCGCGGGGCGGCCCCTGGCCCAGGACGAAAAGTACTCCGGCTGACCCACGGCCGGGTCCCGGCCGGATCCCGGGCGATCCCCAGGGGGGAGGCTATTTTTCGCCACCACTCACGAGGATCGTGGTCTCCGAGGGGGGGGCTGCAATCGACTACCCCCCCTCCCGCCCCAAGGGGCCCCCAAAGAGCCCCCCAAGAGGCCCCAGGGGAGCCCAATACGCCGCCAAGGAGCCCCAAGACGCTCCCAAGAAGCCCCCAAGAAGCCCCCAAGACGGCCCCAAGAGGCCCCAAATAGCGCTCCAGGGCCGGCGGAATGAGCGAAGCGATTAAATAACATGCATAATAATTTGCGCGGCTCGCCTGGGACCTAACCAAACTAGAAACATATGAAAGGCCATGATTGCTTCCTAGGGTCCCCCTTGTTTGACAGATTGCCTCCAGGAAGGCCCAACGAGGGCCTCTACAGCTACAGACCTGGCCCCCAAGGGGGCTGCGACGCCTCCCAAGGAGGGCTGCGGTTGAGCTCAGGGATGGCTCGAAGCGGCCCCCCAGGAGGCTCTACAATCGCAATTGTTGGTGCCTGTGCGTCGCTGTGTGCCTGCAGACGTCCGCTTCAGGCAACACGAAGCAGAGATGTCCTTGCAGGCGACATGCTGCAAAGCGTACTCCAGATTTCGTAATAAAGGAAAGGGGGTCTCATTTCGGGGGGGGGGTCTCTTCCAGGCTATCTTGGAGGGCCTGGGGGGTCTGGGGAAGATGTTTTGGAGGGTTCTCCCACGGGGGAGGTCTGAAATGGCTTGTCTTGGAGGGTCCAGACCCCCTCTCTTTTATTACGAAATCTGGAGTAACATGAGAATGGCATCCAGCAAGAAAGGTGTAAACGAAGGCGCGTCCAGCAATGACGAAAAGTGCAAACGGCACCTCGACACCGACTCTGTCACAACACCCTCGTCCAAAGCTAGAAACCATATGCAACCTCGGCGGAGCATACCGTGCGTGGTGGAGGCTGCATGCGGCTTCCAAGTTGGGATAACGGAACGTTTCCACATATGGGCTGCACTTGGAGGCGGAACTAAGACAACAAAGGACGTCGACAACAAAAAAAACACAATGTCCGCAACAGACCTATCGACCGTATGCTCCAGCGAGCAACACACCCACCCGCGCCGTCGTCCTGATCCCCCGCACGACAGTGCGATCGCGCTCGGTGCGAGAGACCCGGCCGGCCTCCTCGTCCAGGTATCTTCTCCCCTTGTGGACGTGAGTCTTCGGGGCGCGCACTGTGAGCTTGAGCCCATCGATCGGAACGTCCAAGAACTTGTAGCACTTCGGCAGGTTGTGATCCTTCACGTGCTGGCTATAGCCCTTTATGTTCCAGTTCTTTGTCTGGTCACCTGCGCTGGGCGGACGGGCGTGAATCGGGTGGGACTGTTGGTGGCGTGCCCCTGCTGAATGAAATCAAGGTTGGCTGATCTGCGGGGGCACCCGATTGCTATTGACACCCTCCGCACTCCCACATACCCCTACCGATGCGAGGGGCCAACACAGTTCTATGAGGGGCAAAAACTGGAGGCAAGAGCGTCCACTGAAACGCACGTGCTACCCATGAATCTCTGGCCAGAAGCCCTGCTGGAAATCCTCCGAGAAGTCTTTGCTCCTGTGGGCTCTTCCTTGTCATCTTTGGGGATTCGGACGGGCCCGACGAGGCCTCGCCTGGTACGCGGTCGTGGGCGCCTCGTGGGCTTGGGTCGGGCGTGTCCTCCTACAGGCGGAAGTTTCGAGGAAACCTAATAATGTAGAAAATAGTCAAAACAACTATCAACACATTCAAAACACATACTAGAAAAACATCGCCCCCAGACTACGGCAGGTTCGTGTCGTGCCGACCCCAGCGTTGGTTTTTGACACCGCAGGGATCGTTCAACCTTGAACGATCGGCCGCTGCCGCAACGTCCGATCGTTCAACATCGATCGATTCCGGGTCGCCGGCGGCGTTCAACCTTGAACGTCGGCGGCGGGGTCGCCGCTGGTCGACACGACGCAAACCTACCGTATGTCTTGACTGCCAGTTCAGAAGATTCCTGCTTGCAGAGGGACGTGCCCCACCAAATCTTGGCGGCGCGCGCAGGGGGGTGGAGGGAGGGGGGAGGGCTTCTTAGAAGGAGGCTGCTTCTTAGAAGGCGCCGGCCTTGCGTCCGTAGGAGGAGGAGGAGGAGGAGGAGGAGGAGGAGGAAGGAAGGAGGGAGGAGGAAGAGGAAGGGGAGGAGGAGGAGGAGGAGGAGGAGGAGGAGGAGGAGGAGGAGGAGACAGGGACCGCGCCTTCTGAGAAGCAGGGGGTGCTTCTACGAAGCGCCCCCCTCTGAAGCGCGGCCGACGGTCGTGGGCAGGGAGCCCCGTGCGCCGCGGGGGCTCCGCCCGCTGCCCGGGTGCTCGGGCAGCGGGCAGCGAGGGCCCCGTGCGCCTCTGCCCGAGCACCCGGGCACCCGGGTGCTCGGGCCCCGTAGCCAGACACCCCCAATGAAATAACTCACTTACTGTTTTAGGCCAGCACTGTCAAGCATGCGATCACGATCGATTTCGGGTCGAAGCGAATCCCCCCGTGACACCATAACGACGGGTGGGTACAGTAGAAACTCGACCACAAGAAACCTTCCACAAAAACCCAACCCAGAGACCCCAGAGCGCCCATTGATCTTTGGCGTGGGAACGCCACGCTGTCCATAGCAAAACCATCGACACCCAAGAAACCCAGGACACCCTGGAGGAAAGCAGGGTGTTTCTAGGCATGGGCTTCCACTGCAAGAGCAGCGTGGCGTCCAGGGCGAGTCGCCCCACGTCCGCGCGCTGCGAAATGACGGGCCGCCGCTTGAATGGCCCCCTTTGGTCCGGGGTGTCGGTAACGGGCGGTGCCGCACCTAAGGCAACCTCTGCGCGGCCGGACGCTGAGCCGTGGAAAGCGCGCCGAGCGTCAGACGGGGCCTGAAAAAGGCAATTGTAAGACACGCATGGACGGCGCCCTCGCCAAGGGGGGGCGCAATGACGCCTCGCCCCGATGACAGGGCGGTGTCGGCGGGAACCAAGGCGGCCAGCGGCAGGCGAACCGTGCGGACACAAGCGATGACAGCCGTGGCCGACGCACCGCGCGCAAGGCATGCGCGGGTCATGGGGCGTACGGCAGGCGGGTCGTGCTGCAGGAAAAAAAATGCTCTCGACGAGCGACGCTGTCGGGCGGCGGTGGCCGCCGGACCAGCAACTCGGGGGTCGCTGGCGCGCGCGGGGGTCCGCGAACTGCTCGAGACGGGGCGGGGCGAACGATCGAAATTCGCGTCAGTTGGGCCCTCGTTGGCAGTAGCTGCGGAGAGCCCGCCGTGGGGCAACACAGGGATGGGATGCTCGGGGGCGGGCCTGAAAGATGGCACCAAGGGGCGGCGCGTCGGTCGCCGGTCTTCGGGCGTTGGTCGTCGACCATCGCGACGGCTGACGCCGCCGCGCGCGCGGCCGTCGTCTGGCGGCGGTCGTCAGACGCCAGGCCCTCGGCAGCTGGCGGCGCGCTGGGGCGCGGGGGCGGCGAGCGCGGACCCGGCCAGCCGACCAGCCCCAGCCCGTCGTCGTCGTCGTCGTCGACGGCGTCGCCATCCTGTCTCGCCCCCCAGCGGGCTGCAGCGGGGCCCTGAGGGACCCACGGTTGGCCAGGCGACGTTTGAAGGGGGGCGCGGGGGGCGCGGGGGCGCGGTGCAAGCGCGGCGACGGGCGCGCGGCGGCGCGGCGGGCGCCCCCGACGCAACCGGCGCTGCTGCGGAGCGGTGGTGGCGCGCAGCGGCGATGAATGGCGCGGGGATCGCGGAGAAGGCTGTGAACGTGGCGAAGTTGATCCTGGGAGTTGACACTCAAGAGCCGATATACTGGTCGCAGATGGTCGCAGTTGGCGGGGCGCATCGCAGCAGACTCGAAGATGGTCCACGCGCGGTTGCAGGGCTTCACGCGCGAGCTGGCGCTGCCGCCCATGAGCCAGCCGTCGGTGAGCACGCATGCCACTGCCGAGGGGCTGGTGTCCGTCACGACAGTGGTCGTTAGACGTCGGGCGTTGGTCGTCGGACGTTGGTCGTCGGTCGTCGCGGCGGCTGGTGCCGCGGCGTGGGCGGTCGTCGGGCAGCCGACGTTGGCCCGCAATTCGACGGCCGTCGTCGGGCGTCGGGCCCTGGGCAGCCGGCGCTGCACACGGGGAGCGGCGGCTGCGGCCTGGTCAGCAGCCCAGCGCCAGCCCGGCGCCGTCGTCGCCGGCACCCTCCCGCTACACCCCCCGCAGGCTGCGGCGTGACCCTGGGGATCACAATGGGCCGGGCGAGGAAAAAGCGAGGGCCGCAGGCGGATGCCGCCAATGCCTGATTCTCCGAATCGGCACCCGATTCGTCGGCATCCTCAAAGTAGTCTCCGCCGTCGACGATGACGACGTGCTCCTCGGGCGGGGCGGCCCCTGCGGGCGCGGCGCTGCCTAGGCGGGCGGGCCGTCGCCCTCTGTCGAGCACAGGCCATGCGGGCAGTGGGGATCTCGCCCCCTGCCACGGTCGCGCCGGGCACGGCATTGGAAACGGCAGCTGCTTCGAAGTGGAGATCGCGGCCCGCGCCGGCGGAGCGCTCGCGGGCGGCGCCGGCTGAGCGGCGTCGCTGTGGAGGCGGCAGAAGAAGGGAACCGGCGGCGCTGCACACGGGGGCGGCGGCGGCCCTTGCCAGCCCAGCCGGGCGCCGCGGCAAGTCGACGCGGCCGCCTTCAAGGGCTGGGGGGCCGGGCCAGGGCCGTCCGCGCAGCCCAGGGCCAGCGACGCGATGGCGTCTGGCAACAGGATTTAGGCTGCAGCGGCCTTGGCAGGCGAGGGCACCGCCTGCGAAGGCCTCGCGATGATGGGCCAGACAGCCTGCATAGCCGTGGACAAGGACCGCCGCGTCAAGTGGCGGCCACTGGCCGAGTGGGGCGCCGCGGGATGGCCTCGTCCGACGTCGTAGACCACGCGGTCCCATTTGGCGCGCAGGACCTCGCCCACTCGCGCGGCGGCGGCGCAACCTCGCTCCACGCCCGCGGCGCGGCGCAGTTGCGCGGCGAGCGAAGCGCCGTTGCATCGCATCGCCGCGGCGACGCCGACGGCCGCGTCGACGTCGCGGCGGGCGCGGATGCCGACGGCCGCGGGTTCGCCCCCTCCCACCAGCCCGAGAGCCCAGTGGCTCGCGGCAGCATTGAAGGGGCCCCAGGACACACAAATAAATACACACAAATAAAAAGATCCCCAATATTTTCATATAGTTTCTGGGTTTTTGCCCCCCCCCCCCCCCCCCCCCACTTCCCATATTTTGCCTTACTTTTCTGGGGAATCGCCGAATAATTGTGTCTGTGTGTTTCTTTCCCTCCTGAAAGGTCACTTGGTCGCGGGATGGGCCGTCCCCGCTCGGCGCCCAGGCCGTAAATCACTCCTCCTTTTCCCTGCGACCTGGAGCACCGCATCCGCGCCGGCGGGGCAAATGCCCAGTAAGTGACGGCGGCGACTCTTGACTATGAAAGAGCCGTGTCGGGCGATGAGCTTGCAGTGGCCCTGTGGCTCGACGGCGCGGAAGTGGTTCTGGGAGATCGCCGTGGAGCGCCCAACAATTCTTCGTCGAGCATCTGGCGCTTGGCGGCCTCGTGAAAATTGACGCTCCGATGACGGGCGCGGTCCTGGGCTGTGGCGTGCCAGCATCTGCTGTCTTTCTGTGGCGGCGCCGTTGACGGGGCTGCGCCTGAGAGCTGCAGTGTGAACAGGTCCGCAAACGCCCGCGAGGCGTCGGCGACTTCGGCGGTTTCGGATCGACGTCGCGCGATGGGCAGGGTCGATTTGGTCGTGAGTCACGTTTTGGTGGCATCCCAGTCCAGCGAAACCGAGGTGGGAGATGGGAACGGCCGGCGCGAGGGGGGGCAACGCGGCGAGGGATCTGCTGGGGCAGCTCCTCAGACTCGCCACGCGCGCGCGCCGCGAGAGGTCGGCGGCGTTCCACGCGCGGCCCCGGCGGGCGCGAAAGGGCACGGGCGCAGACTGGCGAGCTGCGCCGAAGCTGGCGGCACGCGCCGGTGGCATGCCGCGCGGCATGCCACCGGCGCATGCCGCCGGCGGTCCACTCCCGGCGCGGTGGATCCGTCGCCCGCCCTCTGTGCTCTGGCCCGTTCATAGTGTCTGGTGGCGAAGCTTCTGTCGTGGGGCCCGCGGAACCTCGTCGGCGCGCCCCTCGGTTTGGCTGGCAGGGAGCGGTGCAGTTGGTTCTCTGTGGCGCGCGGCGCAGCGTTGCATCCTGGTCGCCCGGTGCTGTTCCTGCACCCCCCCCATTGGACGAAAGGGCCCGGGCGTCTGCGGCGACCAGCCAGCTTGCCGAC